ATTTTCCAGTTTAAACATAGGTAATCGATTGGGCAGCAGGAAACATCCAAAAACTAAGTCCTGGGGCTTCGACTATTTACATTTAAGGAGACAGTCTTGCATTTCTTAGGGCTCTAACTTCGAAATGTATTCTTAATTACATCTACTCCCTGTGACATCTTAGAACGTCAGGGGATTCGAGAAAACGATGAATTCCAGTGAATGCACTATTAAATCCATTTGTATCGATCGTGGTCAAGTGATTCACTTTAACTACTTGCTGTATCATATTTCTCGGACTGAAGGCAATTAAGTCTCGAGACTTCGGCAACGAACACTTCCCAGTAAAAACTTTCATTATCATATAAGTCATTACTTTAACACGGTGATGTCATTGGAGGCAAGTACTTACCACAAACGATTACAAGTAATTATAAAAAGTAGTAATTGTAAATTACATGAAAAAACACTGGCAGGATGACTAATGAATTCGAAAGTATTTATATAAAAAATTATTAGTAAGTTCTTATTAGACTACTTCTATGTAATCCAGACGATATGTAGTAGTCATTGAAAAGTATGTTGTTAGGTAAGTAATTACAATTAAAAGCCATTACCAAGTTTTTGCTGGGTTCTTACAGTTCTCACCTCGAAATGTATCAATTGTATCCACTCCCTGTGGCATTTCACGACATTTCCACGAATTGATTTGTGTTTCAAAACACTTGAGGATTCGTGAAAATCATTAATTCCCTTAATATTGACCCAGCGGATCATTATCTCAGAAATGGGAGCAGCAAATGTCACAAAAGTGGCAAATCGCGGTACCCCACAAGGTGGAGTTCTATCTCCACTTCTGTGGAACCTAGCGTTGAACCCACTTCTTATGGATCTTAGGTCTATGGGATTTAAGGTCATAGCGTATGCGGACGATGTGTCTGTAGTAGTATCTGGCAAATATATGGATACTATATCGCAAAGGATGGAGATTGCACTCAAGTCACTCAGCACGTGGAGCAATGTCAGTGGCCTTGGTGTAAATCCATCGAAAACAGAACTTGTTCTCTTTACTAAGAAGTACAAGATACCCATCTTCACTCTTCCACCATTAAATGGGGTCGAATTGAAGTTATCTGATAGTGCTAAATATCTTGGAGTAATCCTGCATTCAAAACTATCATGGCACTTGAACACTCAATCTAGGTTGTCAAAAGCGACTGCAGCCTTATACTCGTGTAGGAGAGCAATTGGTAAGTCATGAGGCATAAACCCCAAGAATACCAAATGGCTCTTTGACATGGTAGTCAAGCCCATACTATTGTATGGTGCACTTTTGTGGTGGAAGTCAGTAAAAGTTTTCAGGGAATCCTTCGTAAATCAGCTCTGTTGATAACGGGGGCCCTTCGCACCACCCCATCAAAGGCTCTCTGGTCCAAGAAGTTGCCCTCAACGCGGCTATTAGACTCAATACAACTGGTCACTCTACCATTCCCAATTGTCTAGGAGAAATCCCTAACAATATCGATTATTGCATCGCCAAACCTTTGTCTTTTAATAGAAGCTTTTCAGTGACTATCCAACACGATCCAAATGTGATGGAAACAATCCTCCATGACGGATCGTATAAGGTCTTCACCGAAGGCTCAAAATCAAACCATGGTGTAGGCGGGAACGGAAGTTTCCTTCAAGCTTCCTGACCAATGTAGCGTTCTTCAGGCTGAATTGTCAGCCATAAAACAGGCTGCAAACTGTCTCAGGTTTTATCGAATATACGGTGTTAATATTCGAATATCAAACTTAGTCCTAGAATGCCGGACATCCCTTAATGAGATGGTGAAACATTCCACAATAAGACTGTACTGGATTCCAGGACATCAACAAATTCCTGGTAATAACATCGCGGACTCTCTTGCCAAGTTAGTTTCCTAACCTGCACCTAACCTAATCTAATATAGCGAATGGGGTTTCAAACTTAAGCTGAAATCTGCTGTAATGGAGCTATTCATTGGTCACATTGATACACGGTGTAACTGAATTGTTCACATATTGCCGGCCTCTGAATACTACTTCAAATTTTCGATACCGTACAAAGTGTACTCAATGTATATCATATAAAAACAGCCTAAAAGTAGGCCGCAATTAGTAAATGAGAACAGTTTTATGAATAATAGAAAACAGCTGACCAAACAGATGTTCAACACATACAACTTTATCACTAAAAACACTGTCTCTCTTAATACAAATTCAAAGATCGTTGATTGGAATGCCAACAAGAGGGAGACATATGTATAAATATTAAAATGGACAACAAAAATGCATTTAAGCCAAGATCTTTATGCTCATTTTTAGAGCTGTACTAAAGCAAACAGTAGCAACAACAACAACAACTATTACTACTACTACTAACACCACCAACAAACAACAAAATAAACTGCTTAATAGCTGTTGCCAACAGGTTAATAACGTTATTGTAGATACGATTTGAGCACAGTTTCGGCACGGGTTTCAAACGGATGAGTTGTCACAACTCTATAAGATTTAAAAAAAAGCGGATAAACTTGAAAACCCCCATTTAAATATCTGTGAAAAAAAAAACAACAACAACAGTACAAATAAATTCATTTGAAAAAAAAGTGAACATTATTGGAAATAATAAAAAAAATTATTAACAAAAACAAATTTTGGGCTTAAATAAAAGAGAAACCCCCCTAAAAATTAACAAAATTATAAAGCAATAATTGCAAATAAAGCTGGTTTTCAAAAAAAAAAAAAAAAAAAAGAATTTCAACAAAAAAAGTGTGAAAAAAAAGTAAATGCCCTTGTAAAATTTATAAATAAAAATAAAAGAAGTTTTAACAGAAATACAGATGAAAAAAACAGTGATATATATAAAGAGAGAAGAAGAGAGGAAGAGTTGAAAAACAAAGAGTTAAAGTTAAATTAACTGAAATGTAATAATAAACGGAATTGTTTGTAAAATTAACCAGAAATACTTAACAAAAAAGAAAAAAATTATGCAATTTTCTGTTTAAATTTTATGCTAATTTCATAGTTTAAGGTTTTTTTTAATCTTTGTCTTTTTTGTTAACTGCTAATTTAGAGAATTTTTATTAAAAAAAAAAACTAGAAAAAATGCTAATTTGTTTTTTTTTTCCAAAAAATTATTAATCTTTGTTTATTTAATATTTATGGACTTTCATTTATAACTGTTTGATTTTAACAGCTTTATGTTGTTTAACGATCTCGTTTATAATTCAAAATTTAAATATTTTATTTTACTTTCGTTTGTGAGTTTTAAAGTTTTTTTTTATTATTTAATTTCAATATTTTTTTCACACATTATTATTAAGTTTTTTTTTGTACATATTGTTGTTGAGTTTGTATCGTATCGAATTGTTTGTTTGGAAATAGTTGAAATTTATTTATTACTCTCTTGACTTTCGTTATTAGTCTTTGTAGGGGTATGTATTCGGTTTTTGGTAGTTTAATAAAAAAACTTTTTTAACAAAAACTAAAATTTAATAGTGTGTATGTATTATAAAACAAAAAATAAAAAAAAAACTAAAATTAATCCCACCTAAAACTCAATAGTTATTTAATAGTATTTCTCCCATTGACTTGTATGATCAGTGTAACCCTCACACAGTGGTACCAAAGTAATTAAATCGAAAACAAAACAAGTAAGAGTGTTATATTGTGCCGAATCTTATATACCCACCATCAAACAGTATGCCGTAAAAGGAATGCTATCCTATAAAAATCAGGGCGATATTACTCATAAAATTTACTAAGGAGGACCTTATATGAGATATAGGGAGAATTATTGAAGGTTTTTCATAAATTTTTTTAGACCGATTTTAATTCATATAAAACATGTTTACATCGAATATCACTTTCCGACACTTTTCGCATGAAATTCTGTAGGATGATTTACGTTCCTATAAAAGTTTCTTAGGTTTTGGCGTTAAAGTAACCGTATATGGGGGGTAGGGTCAATTATGGACCGATCCACATAAAATTTGGTAGAGAGTATTTTAAATGTCAAATTTCATTGCTATTGATCGTTAAAGTCGTTTTTTGAAGGGGACCTTATATGGGTGGTTCGGTCAATTATAGACCGATCTATATAAAATTTGATAGACAGATTTTGGCTTTCATGGAACTTATGTGTGTTGAATTTCATCGCTACACTCGTATTTTTAAGACAGTATTGAGCGTTAAAGAGATTTTTTGCGGACCTTATATGGTGGGTAGGGTTAATTATTGACCAATCCATATAAAATTTGATAGATAGATTTTTACGCGGATAAAACTTATGTGTGTCGAATTTCGTTAAAGTAATTTTTTGAAGAGAACCTTATATGGGGGTAGGGTCAATTATAGACCGATTCACATAAAATTTGATAGAAAGATTTGGGCTCGCATGGATCTTATGTGTGTCGAATTTCATCGCTATACTCGTATGTTAAAGACAATAATTATCGTTAAAGTAATTTTCACAAGGGGACCTTATATGGGCGATAGGGTCATTATGGACCGCTCCGCATAAAATTTGGTAGAGAGGTTTTGGCTCGTAAGAGACTTACTTATGTAAAATTTCATACTCGTATTTTTAAGCTAGTAATGAGGGTTAATGTCATTTTCTGAAGACCTTATAAGGGGGGTGGGGTCAATTATTGACCGATCCATAGAAAATTTGGTAGAGAGATTTTCACTCGCATGAAACTTAAGTGTGTCGAATTTCAACGCTATATTCTAATTTTTTTTTTTTGCCAGTTATGAAAGTTATAGCCATTTTCTGAAGGGGACTTTATATGGGCCGTAGGGTCAAATATGGGCCGATCTTCATAAAATATGGGGGAGATATTTTGGTTCCCAAAAAACTTGTTTACATTGAATTTCGTTGCTTAGCTATCATTTTGAAGCATGTTAAACGAGTTAGAGTCATTTTCTGAAGCGGAGCTTATATGGGGAGTAGAGTCAATTATGGGCCGATTTCCAAAAAATTAAGCAGAGATATTTAGAATCCCCTTAAACTTGTATATGTCGAATTTCGTTGCAGTGAGTCATTTTAAAGCAAGATGGTGGGTATAAAAATTGTGAAATAAATACATATTTGAAAAGCTCGTTATGTATATTGTGTGGCTAACGATCATATATTAACTCTAATATAACAATTTACAATAAATTCAATTCAATGTAGGTACTCAACCAATTGACACCTTTCTTCGAAAGATCCATAACACTTTTTATATCCTACACCACTATAGTAGGGCTCAGATAACTAATTGACTCAGAATCTCTTTCTGAGGCGATATAGCTATGTCCGTCCATCACAAGAAAATTTGATGAAATTTGGCACATACTCTTCTTTTGATTTAAGAACGAAGACTATTGAAATGGTTAAAATCGGTCTATAATTACGCCTAGCCCAGATACAACTATACCCGCCAAATATAAGTGCTTTATCTCGTTGTTGTTATTTTTTAAGAGGTAGTCTCAGATATCTCAATTATTTATGAACCGATTTTACTGATTTTCAATACAAAACTTCTCGAAAGCATGTCTGATAAAATTTTTGAAGATTCAGATCTCGAAAATATCTGGGGCCTTCTCAAAACTGATTTCAAAAAACATACAGACGGACAGACAGAGAGACGGACATAGCTTAATCGACTTCGCTTTCTAAAAGGATTCGGAATATATATAATTTATGGGATCGGGAAATTATATTTTAGAAATAGAATGACAAACATACATGTATATACTCTTCTCACAAAGGTCAAGTGTATAAAAATAACCCATAACTCAAGAGTTTTGCAGCAGAAACGAATGATACGTCTACCCTCAGAATTCCACTAGAAAGATCCATAACTACTTAGATAGATGACAGACTCAATAAAAGATCTTATCCGTGATTTTCACTTAATTCGGGATGAATTATATTCGTTTTACATACTCCTTGGTATCGACCATAATCAAGTGAGCCACTTTAACCACTCGCTCTATCATGTTTCCCAGGCTAAGGACAACTAAGTCTTGTGACATTGGCCATTTAAGCAGACAGTCTTGTATTTCCCAGGGCTTTCACTTTGAAAAGTATTTTTAATAGCATTTCACGAATTAATTTGAGTTCAAATTATGAATTGGTTTCGGGAAAATAATGAATGCCATTAAAGGAGCAATTAACGGATGGTGTTGATCCGAATCCATTTCACATTCCCCTAACTACGCTAATGGATAGTGGTCAAGTGAGTATGTGAAGAAATGTCACATCGCAGGGACTTAAGTTTACTTTTAATCAAGGTACGCTGAATCGGAATCTGACCTAAGACAAATTCTCCTGAAAGTCCTATCCAATTTCTTCAATATGAACGTTTATATGACTCTGTATTTTTGGGCTAAAAGGCTCTATAGTCCATTTAGAGAGAAGATTAAGTTTTGCAGAATCTTTAGATTATTTAGAAAATTATTTAAGTGAGCTTTATAACACTCTCCTCTATAAAGTCTAGAACCCTATTTCATTAATTTTAATGAATTTCCGAAATCATTGAACTTTCGGTTGCTATTACTTTGACAATCTCGGAACGAATTCGACTTCAGCAATATTTTATCAAACAGCAGTTCACAAATGTTTAAAATTTCTTGCAGTTTTAAAATGTTGCTTCTCTAACATCTATATTAGTCCATCAAACGTACCCAGTTCCGTTATAAGTATGAAAAACTGATGAAGGCCCACCTACCGTACAATGATTCAAATTCAACTGAGATCTTGAAACAAAACACTTTAGGATTAGACAATAATAAACAAAATAACACTCATCTGAGCAAAATCGATATTTTTGGACAACTCTATTGACCATAGTTCATAGACAAATCAATAAACTTGTCCTTAGACTAGTGCATACAGACAAGTCCACAGATTAGCATATTTATTAGTCCATAGACCATTGCAAACAGTAGTCAATAATTTAGTCAATATAATTATCAATAGCTAGTCCTAGAATAGCCCATAGCTTAGCCAAAAGACTACTTCATAGACTAGCCTTTAGTCCACAGACTAGCCACTAGTGCATAGTTAAGAAACTGGTCAATATTGTAGTTGCAGATTAGGCAATAGACCAAGAGAGTGGACAATAGACTAATTTCTCCTCCCTCCAGTCATTCCCACGACAATCGGTTCTTCACACCGGAACGAATCGCAGTTCAACGTATAACGACCAAGGGTTGTCAACCCAGCCACACCGATTTTACACGTGTCGCTGCTACAACAACAACAATAGACTAGTCCATAGAACAGACAAGCCAATATAGTCCTAAAAGTTATTTAGTACTTTTTAACCATAAAAGTTACTATTTTTGATAAAAGTAAGTTATAATTTTATAAAATGAAAATTTTCCATGCCTGGTCCACTGTGCCTTAAATCTATTTCATACCAACTCTCCGCACATCATAAAACTTTAATATCCATTTTAAACGAGAGATACATACAAACATAGATTTTTCAGATCGTACTTTAAGCTTAAAATAAAAAAACAACAAATCATAACAAAAAACTATAGAAAATCTATCTGAGAGCAGTTAGTGCATAACACATACAGTACCAGACAAAAGTACATGTATAAAACATACTTAATCAATAGAGAATTATTAACATAATAATTTTGAAAAAAAAAACTCTTTTTTCAATCTTTTTCTCTCTCTCTCTTTTTTGTTTAACATATAAATAAAAATTCAAATCAATACAAAATCATTGTTTAAATTTTCATTATGTTTATGATTTTATTTTTTGTAGCGAAGTGCAGGGAGAGTGTGTATGGAAATAGTAAATGATCACCAACCATAGTTAGTTTAAAACTATTGTTTAATAACAACAACAAATCAACAAAAAAATCATTAAAACATCTATCGATCGATTGCGTCGTTTTGCGTTTTATTACATGTTTTTTCTAACAACAACAAAAAATAATAAAAAGCGGTAGTAGCAGCAACAACAACAAAAATCATATTGTCTAGCTTATGATTTTATTTAAGCCAAATTTTTTTATTTGGAATTATAACACAAGAAAAAAACAAACCAAAAAAATCCAAAAGTTTATAAAGTGGAAATAAAATTAAATAACAAATAATTAAAACGATCTGCTTGATCGCATTTACAACTAAAAAATATTTGTTTGTTTTGTGTTTTTGGTGTCTGGTGTTTTTTTTTTTTTAAGACGATATTTTTCGATCTTAACAAGTGGCTCCTCTCGGCTGGTGTTTGACTTTTGTGGTTTTTCTTAACAATTGGCGTTATTTATAAAACAAAACGTAAACTTTAAAGGTAAGTTTTTTTTTGCTTTCATGGTGTATGTTGTTTTGTATTCTGTGAAATTTGCGGTTTTTATTGTTATCTTAGTTAGGGCTTAATAAGTAGTTTCATAATTGACACCCGCTAAGTTTACGGTTAATATTTGTACTGCGGTACATCCACATCTTATTCGGTACTTTTTCAAATTAATAAACTTTGGCTATGTAGTCCACATAGTATTCAGCCAGTAGTGTAGTCTGTAGTCTAGTCTATAGTCTAGTCTATAGTCTAGTCTATAGTCTAGTCTATAGTCTAGTCTATAGTCTAGTCTATAGTCTAGTCTATAGTCTAGTCTATAGTCTAGTCTATAGTCTATAGTCTAGTCTATAGTCTAGTCTATAGTCTAGTCTAAAGTCTAGTCTATAGTCTAGTCTATAGTCTAGTCTATAGTCTATTCTATAGTCTAGTCTATAGTCTAGTCTATAGTTTAGTCTATAGTCTAGTCTATAGTCTAGTCTATAGTCTAGTCTATAGTCTATTCTATAGTCTAGTCTATAGTCTAGTCTATAGTCTAGTCTATAGTCTATTCTATAGTCTAGTCTATAGTCTAGTCTATAGTCTATTCTATAGTCTAGTCTATAGTCTAGTCTATAGTCTAGTCTATAGTCTAGTCTATAGTCTAGTCTATAGTCTAGTCTATAGTCTAGTCTATAGTCTAGTCTATAGTCCAGTCTATAGTCCAGTCTATAGTCTAGTCTATAGTCTAGTCTATAGTCTTGTGTATAGTCTAGCCTATAGTCTAGTCTATAGTCTTGTGTATAGTCTAGTCTATAGTCTAGTCTATAGACTAGTCTATATTCAAGTCTATAGTCTAGTCTATAGTTTAGTCTATAGTTTAATCTATAGTCGAGTCTATAGTCTAGTCTATAGTCTAGTCTATAGTCGAGTCTATAGTCTAGTCTATAGTCTAGTCTATAGTCTAGTCTATAGTCTAGTCTATAGTCTAGTCTATAGTCTAGTCTATAGTCTAGTCTATAGTCTAGTCTATAGTCTAGTCTATAGTCTAGTCTATAGTCTAGTCTATAGTCTAGTCTATAGTCTAGTCTATAGTCTAGTCTATAGTCTAGTCTATAGTCTAGTCTATAGTCTAGTCTATCGTCTAGTCTATAATCTAGTCTATAGTCTAGTCTATAGTCTAGTCTATAGTGTAGTCTATGGTCTAGTCTATAGTCTAGTCCATCGTCTAGTCTATAGACTAGTCTATAGTCTAGTCTATAGTCTAGTCTATAGTCTAGTCTATAGTCTAGTCTATAGTCTAGTTTAAAGACTAGTCTATATACTAGACTACAGACTAAATACTGTACTTGAACTGAACTAGAACTGAACTAGAACTGAACTAGAACTGAACTAGAACTGAACTAGAACTGAACTAGAACTGAACTAGAACTGAACTAGAACTGAACTAGAACTGAACTAGAACTGAACTAGAACTGAACTAGAACTGAACTAGAACTGAACTAGAACTGAACTAGAACTGAACTAGAACTGAACTAGAACTGAACTAGAACTGAACTAGAACTGAACTAGAACTGAACTAGAACTGAACTAGAACTGAACTAGAACTGAACTAGAACTGAACTAGAACTGAACTAGAACTGAACTAGAACTAGAACTGAACTAGAACTGAACTAGAACTGAACTAGAACTGAACTAGAACTGAACTAGAACTGAACTAGAACTGAACTAGAACTGAACTAGAACTGAACTAGAACTGAACTAGAACTGAAATAGAACTAAACTAGAACTGAACTAGAACTGAACTAGAACTGAACTAGAACTGAACTAGAACTGAACTGAACTAGAACTGAACTAGAACTGAACTAGAACTGAACTAGAACTGAACTAGAACTGAACTAGATCTGAACTAGAACTGAACTAGAACTGAACTAAAAATGAACTAGAACTGAACTAGAACTGAACTAAAACTGAACTAAAAATGAACTAGAACTGAACTAGAACTGAACTAAAACTGAACTAAAACTGAACTAGAACTGAACAAGAACTGAACTAGAACTGAACTAGAACGGAACTAGAACTGAACTAAAACTGAACTAGAACTGAACTAGAACTGAACAAGACTGAACTAGAACTGAACTAGAACTGAACTAGAACTGAACTAGAACTGAACTAGAACTGAACTAGAACTGAACTAGAACTGAACTAGAACTGAACTAGAACTGAACTAGAACTGAACTAGAACTGAACTAGAACTGAACTAGAACTGAACTAGAACTAGAACTAGAACTGAACTAGAACTGAACTAGAACTGAACTAGAACTGAACTAGAACTGAACTAGAACTGAACTAGAACTGAACTAGAACTGAACTAGAACTGAACTAGAACTGAACTAGAACTGAACTAGAACTGAACTAGAACTGAACTAGAACTGAACTAGAACTGAACTAGAACTGAACTAGAACTGAACTAGAACTGAACTAGAACTAAACTAGAACTGAACTAGAACTGAACTAGAACTGAACTAGAACTGAACTAGAACTGAACTAGAACTGAACTAGAACTGAACTAGAACTGAACTAGAACTGAACTAGAACTGAACTAAAACTGAACTAGAACTGATCTAAAACTGATCTAAAACTGATCTTGAACTGAACTAGAACTGAATTAGAACTGAACTAGAACTAGAACTGAACTAGAACTAATATAGAACAGAACTGAATTACAACTGATCTAGAAGTAAACTAGAATTGATGTTTAAGCTATACCATTGCTTAGTTTGTACCTTAGAACCAGTTCCATGTGTAATGTAAACAAAATCATCACAAGTTATCCAGCAACCTTATTGCAAGGCCTTTGACTAGCAAATTTTTGTCATTGAACAGATTTTAATTGTTAAAATAGATTTAAAAACTTGTTCCAGTAATAGTTTGACATTTTTCACTAGTGAATCCACAAAATTTTAAAAGATTGCTTTTGTATTCTAAATAAATTTTTATAAACAAATAATGTTTTGCATATAAAATATATATATGTAGTTATATGAATTATATATCTCAAGTTTACTTTATTTTTTAAATAAACTTAATTTCCAAATCTTTTTAAAACTTCTTGATATTTACTGATCCGATTATTATTTTTATACTTTTTGTGAATTTAATAAAACAACTAGAATAAAGAAACACAAATACTCTTTAAAAATTGTTAAATATCTAATTAACAAATATTTTCTGAAGCACGAGTAAAGTAATTTTTTTTTATATTATATAAATAAAAGAAACTTGTTTAAATAATAACAAATTATAGACAATAGAGAAAAACACAGCAGACTGACTTAACTCTCTTTTTGACGTATTTTTCGAAAATAAAATTTATGCATAATTAAATAAAAACAAAATATATTTTTATATATTGATCTTTGAGCTTTTTTTAGTAAGAAATCTTATTAAACATCTAAATAAATATTGCCGCGAGGTTTCAAGGTTTTGAAGTGGAAGAAGAAAAAAAAAAGAAAAAAACTTTAAAATTACGATGAAATATTAAAATGCAAATAAAATAAAAAGTTTTGTTAAAGGGGATTTACAAAAAAAAAAAAAAAAAAAAAAAAAAAAGAAACAAGAAAACTTTATTTAAAGTTTGAATTTCAAAACATTTTAAATAGAAAAATTATTTTTCTTACTAAAACATAAACTTACTTTATAAAAACCATAAAATGTTAATTTTAAAATTTAATCAGATTCAATAATTTCGTTTATTTTAACAATTTTAAATTAAATTATTATGAAATTTTTTATAAATTATAATTTACTTAATATCTAGTTTTATTTATTTAGTTAAAATGTTTTTAAAGTTCATTTACCTTTTCTTAATTCATGTTTTTTATTTGTCTCAATTAACACATTTATTTTCTTTAAAATCTTTATTTATTATCAAATTTTTATTACCAAGAAACAAAACATAAATTATAATTTAAATATATTTAAGCTGAAATTGTTTATATTTTATTATTAACTTTTTAACATTCGCACAAAACTTCCAAATACGCAGTAACTGCTATTTATAAGTAGATAAATAATCTCGGGGGATATTATACTTTAAGTCCAATTAAGAGACCATTTTTTGTTTTTGCTAAATAAGCAAATATTAATTAAGTGGCAAATAAATAAAATATAAATATATAAAAATAAATATACAAAACATTTAATAAATAAATAAGATATAAGTGCAAAAAGTGGGTTTTTGGGAAATAACGTTATTGCAAAAAAAGCATTTTTCTTAACTGTTTGTTTTCGGAAATTCTTATTTATTTTCAAACCAGCTGTCATCTCGCTACTACGTCAGCGAAATTGTTTATATAAAACAATATTTGAAGAGATGTCAAATAATATAAAATTCAAATTTGTAAAATTGATGAATTCAAAACATTAAAAAAGTACTTTTTTGTTAAAGGAAAATATCCCCCTTTGTGGGATTCAGTTCAGTTCTTGTTCAGTTCTAGTTCAGTTCTAGTTCAGTTTCTAGTTCAGTTCTAGTTCAGTTCTAGTTCAGTTCTAGTTCAGTTCTAGTTTCAGTTCTAGTTCAGTTCTAGTTCAGTTCTAGTTCAGTCTAGTTCAGTTCTAGTTCAGTTCTAGTTCAGTTCTAGTTCAGTTCTAGTTCAGTTCTAGTTCAGTTCTAGTTCAGTTCTAGTTCAGTTCTAGTTCAGTTCTAGTTCAGTTCTAGTTCAGTTCTAGTTCAGTTCTAGTTCAGTTCTAGTTCAGTTCTAGTTCAGTTCTAGTTCAGTTCTAGTTCAGTTCTAGTTCAGTTCTAGTTAGTTCTAGTTCAGTTCTAGTTCGTTCTAGTTCGTTCTAGTTCAGTTCTAGTTTCAGTTCTAGTTCAGTTCTAGTTCAGTTCTAGTTCAGTTCTAGTTCAGTTCTAGTTCAGTTCTAGTTCAGTTCTAGTTCAGTTCTAGTTCAGTTCTAGTTCAGTTCTAGTCAGTTCTAGTTCAGTTCTAGTTCAGTTCTAGTTCAGTTCTAGTTCA